ATTGACAAACCTGTTTCTCTCTGCCTCTTGCTCTAAAAATAACACCAATTTTGACTCTCTGCATACATGGTCTCCAAACCAACACAACAGCTTGTGAGATACTTAGCAATAGCACAATGTCATTTATAAAATATAAGAATAGGAAAACATGTGAAGAAGAGTGAATAAACCAGATACAGCTTTAAAGAATTAATAAAGACTTGGGAGGGGATGACAAGCAGCCAGGGAGGAGTACATAAGGCTAGAGTCCCTAACACAGAAAGGCTCTATCTCGACTGAGCACTATCAACCTTTATCTTTACTGTTCTTTTGATTCTCTTTCCTATTCTTCTGCCTTTCTTCTCCCTCGCTCTTACTCACTCTTTCCCTGTCTTCATCTCCATGTCTTTCTCTTCCTCTTATCAGTTTCTATCTATCTGTACATCTTTCCCTCCCTCCCACCTCTCTCCTTCCTTTCTTCTCCCTCCCTCCCCCCTCTTTACTTTCTTCTCTCCCTCCCTGCTCTCACCTTTCCACATTCATTTGCTTCCCTCCTACTTTTCTTCCTTCCCTTTTTCCCTAGTTCCTTTCCTACTCTACTTCCTTTCCCCTCCCAATGCTCCTTCTTCCCTCCATCACTACCCCTGCCCTTCACACCGCCCTCTCTCTCATTGGTGCTATCCCACCCTCCTCACTATCACTTTCTTTCACCCAATCCCCCTCCTTAATTCCCTCCCTCCTAGCCTTTCCTTCACTCTCATATTCATCCTCCCAACTCTCCCCACTCTTTTTCCCTCCCCTCCCCTCCATTCTCTTCTTTTTCTACTTATCTCCCTTCCACTTTTTTCCCTGCACTTCTTTTCTTCCTCCTTCCCCCATCCCTAATTCCCATCCCTTCTCCCTCCCTCCTTCCTCCCCTTCATATCCCCTGCCCCTATCCCCACTCACCGTAGAGGTTCTCCTCGCCGATCTTCTTGCCGAAGGTGATGAGCGTCTCCCCGAGCACGCCCTCTGGCTGCGGGTAGGTGGCGGCCTTGGCTTGTCCCGAGAGCTTGCCGATGCCCTTCACGGCGGACATCTTGGCGCGGGAGGCCGGGTTCGGATGCAGGAACTCCTTGATCTTGAGCTGCAGGTCCTCCACCAGCTCGCACATGATGTCCGTTTTCTGGGGAAGGTGAACAGAGGTGGGTCATGTTAGCGAATATATGGGCTAGGCAGAATGAAAGAACTGAAGAATTGAGGAGAGAAGGAAGGAAGAAAGTGAAGACAAGGCGGAAGGGAAAAATAGGAAAGGAGGAAGAGGAAAAATGAAAGGAGGAAGGGGGGAAAAGAGGGAAAAGAGGATGGGAAAGAGGAAGGGAAAAGGGAAGGAGAGGAGGAGAGGAAAGGGGGAAGGGAAAAGGGGAGGAGAGGAGGAAAGGAAAGGAGGGCGGATAGACGGAAGATAGGGAATGAAAGATTGCATGAAGAAATCGAAAAGCAATTAATTAATGAATTAATAAACACACGGATACAGAAAGAAGAGTTGGATACACAGAATGGAAGATAAGGGGGCGAATGCAACGAAACAAAAGAAGAAAAAGGGAATGAAAACAGATAAGATAAACAACAGACGAAAAAGACCGAAATTTGTCCTACAAAGGCTTGCAGAAAAAGAAAGATGACAAATGGAGGAAGAAAGACCTGGATGACGAAGAAAGGACAAGACAAGCGTGGCGGGAGAGGGGGGGGGAGACGAAGAAAAGGCCAGCGAGGGCGGGCGGTGGTGGGCGGCGCGAGGGGAAACGTACATGACAGACAGACGCCTGATGGACGCGGACAGACAAGTGTGACGGGAAACCGGAAGACCTATTATGCCGAGTGTATGTGCGGGAGGGGTGGGGGTGGGAAGCGAGAGAAGAGGGAGAGAAGAAGGGAGAGAGGAAGGATAAAGGTATGAAGGAAGGAGGAAGGAAGATGGGAGACGGACGGAGGGAGAAAGGGGATGAGGTGGGGGATGAAGGGGGAAGAGGAAAGGATAGATGGAGGTGGGGCTGGAGGAGGGGTAGGGGAAAGGGAAGTGGGAGAGGAGGAGGAGGAGAAACAGTGGGTAAGGGGAATGGGAAGGGGAAGAGGAAGGGCAAGATAGGAGGTGAAGGGGGGTGGGTAGGAGAATGACGGGCGAGGCAAAAGCGACTGAGAGATCGATCTCTTGTCTGGGTCATTGTTGTCGATGAGTGATATGGCACAGACAGCGGTCGGGGGAGGGGGTCGATAGTGTATAGTGGCAAAAGGAAAGAGGGAAGAAAGAAGGAAGGGAGAAGGAGGAAGGGGAGGAGGAGGGAGGGAGGAAGGGAGGAAGGGAGGGAGGGAGGAGGAAGGAAGGAAGGAAGGAAGGAAGGGAGGGAGGGAGGGAGGGAGGGAGGGAGGAAGGAAGGAAGGAACGGGGAGGGAGAGGGAGAGGGAGAGGGAGAGGGAGAGGGAGAGAAGGGGAGAGGGAGAGGAGAGGGAGGGAGAGGGAGAGAGAGGGAAGAGGGAGAGA